AGCCCACAGGTAGGGTGCTTAGCAAACTTTGCTCTTACTGGGGGCTTTAGACAATTACAGGGGAAAAAAATTCACTTATTACCCAGTATTATGCTATTATGATTCACTTTTTAATCTAATAGTTGTATATTAAGACATTATAAACTCTTGAGAAAATAAGTGTGTTTGAAAATTAGGCACTCTGCATCACATACAGTCCTCATGACAACTCTGTGAGAAATGTATCACTGTCACTTTATAGAAGGTACTGGAAGAAATCTGACTCCCTAAATCATGACCCTCTTACTAAATGGAACTTCTGGAAGATCCATTTGTGTTTTGGTCATCCTCAGCAGCCTGCAAGTTACACAGAACCATACAGTTGCTGTTTGTGATCAACACACTAAAGCATCTGAAGTTTGCTCAAATTTAGGAATAGCCACTGTCTGGAGAATATTTTACTTATATTATCACATATAAAGCTAAACATGCCTGTTTCGGCATCCTGTCTCTCACACACAAGTATGTATCTCCATAATTATGCACAAAAAAATTAATCTGAACAGTATCCCCCCACATATAGTGGAATAACAGTAAACAAAGCTGACCTGGTTCATTATCTGGTCTTCTGTCCTCAACCTCTTCCAAACTACATTCCCGCACTGCTCAGATACCAATGGTCCTGATGAGATCATCAGATGATTCACTGTTAGAGAAGTACTAGTTCTTACTGTTTTGTCAGGTGATGCTGCTAAGTTCTGACCACTGAGGTATAAAAAGGTAACTCTTGTCTTTTACATATTAAGGAGGTAATATACTAGCGGTCGGATGCGTGTTTTGTTCAGGACATCTCAGCTGTCTCTGGGCAAGCGTATGCCTGGGCTAAGGAAGAGAACTCTGCCTAGGCAGTGACAGGGAGAAGCGGGGGTAGACAGGGGAATGCTAAAAGAGAGGAAGAGGAGGGGAAAGAGAAAGTGAGGGTCAGAAAGAGAAAGAAAATAGGAAGTTCTAGATCACTCTCATACATGGACATTCCCACTAAAGCTTTCCCCGTTCCAAGAGCCTAACAGGCTTCACGTCTTTACACGAATTATTTCTCCTACAGTCACTGCAGAGATTTTTCAACTGCATCATGGATGTGTAAGCAAAGGCTGTTCTTATTAGTCCAGATTATTCATTAAAGACGTGTGAATGATACACTGAAAATATGTTCCACTACAACATTCAGAGAAGACTTTGCACATTAAAATTTAAAGATAAAACCATCTAGTAGTGCATGTATCTTGGTGATGGTAGCAGATTTTAAAGTCAGTAGATACATGCATGTAACACTGATTTTGGAGATTCAATTCTTAAAGAATTAGCAAGTTCTTTGGTTTTTAAACCCTGTATGTTACCAAGAACAAATATGCTGATAGTTAAATCATTTTGTATAGACTCTTTATCTCAGTTTTGACAAACTATAAGCAAAAAGTTACAAAAGTGTAAAAACAGACTGGATACTTCTGTCCAAATTCCTTAAAATATTACAGGTGAAGCATTCCATTTCGAGATTTTGACAAGAGTATCATTGATCACATCATCTGATCAACTACCCCAATAAAATTATAGGAACAATTCAACAATTTCCCTACCATAAAACATAAATCTCTTAAAAAAATAAGCTACTCAAACAAACCGAAGGCAAAAGCACCAGCTCTTTTTTAGTACCTGTGCACTTAGCATGAAAAGCAACCTGATTTTTGCTTCCATAACAGCTCTACTAATATAATCCACCTCCCACACAATCCACCTATCTAAAGTGTACAGTTCAATTTCACATTTTATCACTCCAAAAAACACCTGTAATACCCATTAGCTGTCATTGCTCCCCCTCCAGCAGCTCTAATCTATGTAGATCTGCCTTTATTCATATAAATGAAATCATGTAGGCTAGTGTGACTGGTTTCTACCTATTTTCAAGGTTCATCCTTGTTGAACATGCATCTCTTAGCAATTCTACCCCCAAAATGAGTCCTTTTCCCTTTAGATTGTGGATACAGTAACAAGACAGTGCTGACCTAGCAGCAGGGACTTTTATTCTTGGCCAAGGAGACATGGGAGATAAAATCATTTAAATCAATCTTTCACCCCTTTAGAGGTCAGATTATACAGAATTTAAAAAAAGAAGAGGGACAGGCAAGCTAGTACAGGGGAGGAATATTTGCCTTTTCTGGAAATGGGAGACACTGGGAATTGGGCACTGTCTCTTTGCTCACTTTACGGTGTCACCCTGGTCGTCACCACCGGCACCTTTCTGGCAGTCACACAGCATGAAGATGGGATTACAGTGAAGTCAGGAGCTGCCTGGCACCAGCCATCTTAGATCCAACCAGTTTGGCGAGCCACCTGTCAAGGGACCTCTGGCCTACAGGGATCTCATCCTCAAAGATAAAGACTAGGGTTGGACACAAATTCAGCTCGGTCATTTAGACAGTGTAAGATTCAGACAGGGCAACGACGCTATCGTCCGGAAATACACCACTGTATGGGTATACTGCACTTCATTTTATTTAATCAAATGATCACTATTTGGGTGGTTTGTACTCACTGATTATTATGCATAATGCTACTATGACTTCTTATGTAGGTTTTTATGGGGTTTTCACTTGTTAGGCATGACTAAGTCATTGAACACTGGTGATCAACTCAACCTCTAATCTCTCCTCGGGGGGTTAGGAGGTGGGGCTTACAGTCCCAATCCTCCTGCCATGCCTGGCTCTTTCTTGTGACCAGCCTCCATCCTGAAGCTACCTAGTGGTGGCCAGTCATCAGCCAACTTATTAGCATACAGAAAGACACTTACCATTTCGAAGCTTCCAAGGATTTTCAAAGCTGAATGCCAAGAAATGGGATGGAAGACCAAATACATATCACACAATATCTTAAGCATGTAGTTTTTTATGTTGTAACACTCAAACCAAATTCAGACACCACAAAAGTGAAAAAGGCTTTATTTGGGGCCAGAACTTAAGAACTTCAATTCAGGAGAAGGATTCGGATAGCTCTGAATCAGCTGGCAGCAAAAATGGGAGCTTCCATGGGTTATTGAACGTTGAGAGAGAACAGGAGCTATGTCACCGACAGAAAGTAGGTAAGTATATAAACAGAATGGAAATGTCCACAAAACAGGTCTGATGACTTCTTCGTATGCTTCTTGGGCTCTCCTGGGCACAGTGTAGTCGTTCTCGGTTCTACAAGTGTGTAGTTAAGTGGTGGCTGTACCAAAATTCCCACTCCGGGCAGCATCTGGATTGTGCCTAAATCGATTATTAACAGCCTCTGGCTTCCATTTTGAAAAGCTCTTTCAATGTTTCACTCATGTTTTTTTACTTTCAATTATTCAATAATGCTAACAAATTATTTTTAAAAATCAAGTATAAAACTTTGTCAAAATTTTCTCTTATTAATATAATTGTATGACAGTCACTATGCTCTGCTTTCATTAACTTTTCTTGTAACTCAATAGCATTTTCACGTATATTTCCTGTATTCTGGGGCATCAGCATCCATTTCCCTTTATTTCTGAAGTCATACCATAATTTCTTTCTAGTTTGTTATATTTGTGTGTTACAGGCTTCAACTGTGGCACCAGATATGGACAACATCACCTAGAGACAATGAAAAATGCAAAATCCTTGATTATGTGATTGGCTCATAAATGGCACCTGCTCTATTTAGAACCCATGATTAACAATGGGCATTTGCTCTGATTTCTAGGACAAAGCCTTGCTACTGGGTATGAGAGAATGAAGGGGTGTAAGGACCATGCCTGGCAATACCGTATGGCAAGGACTTCTTAAAATACGGAGCCAGTGGAAGGGTGGCACTCAGTAGCTGTAGCAGAAAATGGACCTTGATCATATCATCTGGTCCCACCTAGCAGCACTTAAAACCAGGAAAAACAAGAAGGCTTATTCTTGGACTTTTTGGTAAGGTGAGCCATTAAGTTTTAAGTCAATTTAGGTCAGACTTTCTGTTACTTATACCCAGAAGTCTGACTTCATGATGACTATTTTCTCATTGTGTAACTATACTCTGGAGATTTAGTCTCCATTTTTACCTATGATTTTATGGATAACTTAATGGATACTTTAAAAATGAAAATAGGGGTTTATTAAGTAAATTACACCTTTAAAAGGAAGAAAAATTTTTTCCACTGAAAAATAGCCTAGAGACTCCTCAAAACTGTATATTTATGAAAAGAAATTTGAAAGCAACTTCTTGGCACCAAAGAAGAAGATAAAAGTAAATATACAGGATCTTTCAATCTTGAAATTGACTGACATTTTCCATATACCCCAACCCAATATTTTACTCTAAAGAGAAATGGGGGGGGTGTACAGATCTGTAATGTATCTTTAAGCCACTTAGCTTACTCACTAGGAACTGCAGTGGGGGCAAACCTGTGACAACAGTAGGCTGTTTTTATCCCTGAAGGCCCCCAAAGGTTTGGCCTCACAGGATGCACGTAACATGTACCCATCTTTTCCTCCTCTTCTGTCTCTCAAGCCTGTTTTTCTTTCATTAAAATTTAGTTCAGCAAAATACTTGCCCTGATAGATGAAAGACCTGTTAAGAACAAGTATTTTCTAATTGATAGATTTTTATCTTCATTTTTTTTGTCTCTTAAATTAAGGTCTTAACTGCCTTATTAAAATATGGAAACCATATTGACGTTTACATAAGATACATACCTTAAACGGCCATAAAAAGTATTTAAAAAATTAAAACATACCTGGGAAGATGGGGACAGTGGCACACACCTGAAATCCCAGTTACTCAGGAGAGTGAGGAATAACATTTGAGGCCAAGTGAACAACTTAGAGAGATCCTGTCTCAGACTAAAACACAAAAAGGGGGCTGGGGATGTAGCTTAGCACTTCTTGGGTTCAGTCCCTGGTAATGCATAAAACCAAAGCCAAAAACAGCTGCCCCCCCGCAAACCAAAACCCTGGGCAAACAGTACACATATGAACAAATAAAATTTACGGTGAAAAAGTTTAATGTATAAACAGAATCATCTTCTTTAAACTTTCAGAAAAAATAGTATTTATTTAACAAACAGAATTTATTATCGTTTTTCCTTGTGTGGCAGACTGCTATGTTAACGGCCCCACATGAATCACACCTCCCGCAGTCTGTATCCCCGTGTAGTCCCCTCACACTGACTGCCCACGTGACTGACTCTGTCCGATGAATCATCAGCAGATATAATGATGAGGGAGAAACAGGTGTGCTGAGCCTTTGCACAGTGGAGCTTGCCCTCTGGGAATGTTCTCACTATCATGGGGAAAAGCCCACTGTAGCCTACTGGAGGGTAAGAGATCATGCAGCGCAAAGATGTTCAACTCACAGAACTATGAAAATTCATAGATCTTGTTTTTAAACCAGAGCTTCGGAGCAGTTTGTTATGAAACAGTGAATAATAATGCAGAGCCTAATTTGTGTTATAAAGCAAATAGATAAAAATTAAAAAGCTATGCTTCACTTAAAAAATTAAGGTCTCTCAGCAGACATTATTAGACCTATACTTTTGAAATTTCCCTTTTTATGCAGATTCAGTTATACAGTCCATTTAAATATCTGTAATAGTCAACACTTTTAACTGTTACCCTAGTATATTCTATAGGTAGACTATGCCAACCTAATTAACTGAATGCAGTATACAGCAAATATTTTTAAATACTTAACTTTACATATTTCATAAAAAAGATGATATTCTTGCCTTTGTTTTTAAAAAATAAGTGTACTTGCCAACATTATCGTTGTATTTTTTATAGAAGCCAGTGTTCCCTAAATCTGACGCTTCATTTCCTATGTTTTAGAGAATCATAATCTCTTAATACATTTTTAATATTCTTTAAAAATGAAAAAAGTCATAAGATTTTTATTTAACATATTTAAATTTAATAAATTACACTATAACTAGCTACCAGTGAATACTTTTCCAGCACAGAGAAGCCAATATATTAGAGAAATCAATTCTCTGTATTTACTTTTATTAAAAAGAGGTTTTTGGTAGTTAGAACAAATAATCTCTCGTTCGTTGCCTGAAAGCCTAAAATAGGATCATTGGTTTCCAAGCTTGCTACTTGCTGCTTAGCAACCTGCCCTACATGCCTGCCTTCCTTTCTATTGTACAGCACGGTGGACATGGGAGCGGGCTGGCGGTAGATGAACACATGTCGGACGCACTCACAAAGGGCTGCGTAGGAGTAATTTGGAGCACAGGTGAAAAACTTTTTGTCTCTCTTTGATGCTTGCACATAACCTGCCAAGAACATAAAACAAAACTGCTATTACAAATGAAATTCCTAAGCAGCACATATACCATAATACTCGAAACAGTTGTTAGAATTCGGAACCATGAACCATTAGCTGGTTTTTCTTAATTGGTGCAAATATAAATTTTAATCCCTAAGTAATAAAATAGACATGTTTTTAACTCTGTAAGAAAAGCACAATACAGTCCCACTTAATTTCTATTAATAAACACTAAAAATGTGAAATCTAAAGCACTATATGCCAAAAAATCTTTAAACGCCAATTCAATATACCGACTGATGAGTAACTGACATGTTATGACAGATTCATTTTCTTTTATCAAATAAATGAGAAATGTTTATACACTAGCATCCTAGTTATTTTAGGAGTCTGTTCATAATGTAGGCCTGCAGAACTGTTCATAATATATCTCTCAAGGCTTTTTCTCATCATCCTTGTGAGGTCTATGGACTTTACAACACCAACATTGTCATACTATCTTGGTATACTTCAACCCCTAGAAGTAGAACCCTGAGACTACTACATCCTAAAAACAACTCAAGTATCCTTCAAAAATCTTAATTAGAATGTCCTTGAAAACTAATTGAAAAAAATCTTAATCTTGTCTTAAAATCATGTACATGTTGAAAAAATATCTCTTCAGATTAAAGGGATAGTTATACTCTGAAAAATAAATTAGGATTTTCAAACTGGAACATGGTTACTGAACATTATAATGTGAAATAAAAAATGTTAATGGAGTATCAGTGAAAAACTAAGATCTTCGCACACAACAAATGAGCAAAGCCATGGGTACAGGAAGATCAGTAGTTTTTTTACATATTAAGTAAGGTTTGAGGAATGGAAAGTGAAGTGGATGTAGATCCTTATTTGAGTAGCACAGAATTAGCTGTCCAAGCTAGTAATGCAGGTGGTATCTCAAGAGTACATATCTAATGTGAAGTTAATTTAACTGAGACTCAAGCACATAACTCCTCCACAACAGAGGCTCACACAGGCAAATGAAGGATCTGAGCATCGAACAGAACTTTCCCTGTAGTGAAGGAAGAGAGAAGAGAATGAAAAAAACAGAAATTACAGTACAGAAGCTAAGGCTACAAATGTGATGGTACTGTAAATTCCACAAATATCACAAGCAACAAGTACATGATTTTAAGACAAAATCAGTCAATCAGATTTTGTATTTCAGGTCAAAAGAAACTATTTGGAGTCTGAATTAGCCAGTTTAGCAGCGTACATTATTAACCAAAAGGGATAAGTGACAATCTCTATAGTTAGTGTTGTGCATATATATTCACCTACAGGCATACTTTTTGCTTCTACTGCCAGTTTAAAATAACCTTTCAGTAAAGCAATAATGTGGCTAACTCACACTAAAAATTTGTCTCCCAATGCTAATGTATTTTGAACTAAAATCAATGATTGTATAGTCTGTAAATATATAGTTTAAAAATTTTCAGTCCCTTGTTTTTAACTAGTAATTTCTGCTTTATCCTATTAAATAAATTTACTGTCTACTCATCACCACATTCCTTAGGAGTTCTCATTCTAATGATTCTTTGCACCAAAGTTCAAGGAAAGGTGTCTCCTAATATGGATTACCTTAGAGCATTTATGTTTTTGATGATTACTCTGAAGAAGTTTCTTGGTGTGTTACTAAGGACTGAGGTACATCCCAACCCCTTTTAAACTTGATAACATTTATGCATATATATACATATATATATTTATACATATACATATATATTTATATTTTACATATATTTATATTTATATATATATTTATTTGTGGTCCTCGAGATTGAACCTCAGGCCTTTGCTCTACCCAAATTCCCAATCTTTTTTCTTTTTACTTTTTCAGACAGGTCTTGCCTAGTTGTTAAATTATCCATGCTAGGTTCAAATCTGTGATCCTCCTGCCTCAGCTTCCCAGTGTGCTAGGATTATAGGTGTGACCACTAAACCTGGTACTCTGAGAACTTAAACACAAGTTCCTTGTAGGTCTCTGTCAAGCCCCTTGTTCTTATTCTAACATTGCAGCTTACTGAATTAAAATAAGAAAATGACTGGTTGGAACAATTCAAGTGGTCAGATAACCATTTCCATTTTCATCCTAGGGTGATCTTCTCCACAAGCCTAAGAACAGATGAGTCCTATGCACTAACCATGTCAACTACAATATAAGCAACTCAGTCTTAGCACACATCAGTCTGAATGTAGTTAGATCATTCAATTTAACAAGAAATGACCTTTAAAACAGTGGTGTTTTGGTATAGTGCAAAATGCTGTGAAAGAGCTTGCTTCACCCATACCTAGAGCATTGAACGTTGCGATGTGCTCCCACATGTCGTCGTGTTTGCTGGAGTGTGGCTGCCAGAGCAGGGCATCAACATCGTGGCGCAGACAGAAGCAGGGCATTTCTTTAGGGTCCACTATGACCGAGAAAAGGTACTGGTTGCTTCCAAGATTGACCTAAAAAGAGACAAAAAATTAATTTAGTCAACAACAAAATTAAAACAATGACAAAAACAGCACAGCGCTAAGGGTCAGCAACTATTCTAAACTTTTGAAAAATCTGTTCTGATTTAGTCTTCACAGCGTCCTCAAAGAAATGTGCTCCTGTTACATCTGGTGTAAAGCTGAAGGAAGTGGCGCACAGCCCGCTTCACTGGCCCAAGGCCAGCCTGTTCCTAAATTATGGAGACGAGATTTGGACTGAGGGTCTACGTTCATAACCACTGTGCTATCTACTCTCAATTAATAGGAGCTAGTTCAAACCACGATAGATATAAAACATCAATTTAATAATAAGGTAAATAGTTTTAAACCATAGAATACAAACATGGAATTCACTAGCTAACTTTGCCAGCTTTTAATACTTCTGAGCACATTCTATATGCCAGGCATGCCACAAGTATCAATCTTCTCAACAGCCCACAAGGCTGCTACTGCCTTCACTTCACAGATTAAAGAACAGTCTTGGAGAGCTTAAGTGATTTGTTGTAGGCTACAGAGAAGTGTAACAATACTGGGATTCAAACATCTAACTACAAATTAGCGTACTACTTCATTAAGGTATTCAGGTCAGTCATACTATGTTAATAATTGCTATTGCAATATTGATGCCTAAAGGAATTCATTTTAATACAAAATAGTCAAATTAAGATTCATAATTAGGTTCTGGCTATAGAAAAACATTCAATGAAGACAGGTTATAACAATATTCTTCTTTACTAGAAATGGTATGACCAAAGTTTAAAATGTCAGACTATATTCCAACCAAATCAGACCAAATGTAGAAAATATAGAACATACACTGTACTTGATAAATACTAAACTGATTATGCAAGTTTTAGAGAAGAGTAAGAATAAAATGTTGTTTAAATAAGAAATGGGGATCTGACCTGTGTTCTATATGGAAAGCTGGGGAAGGCTCTGTAGCAAAAGGATTTATTGGTACGACTCTGCCCACCCAGGCTATTGGTCAGAGAGAATCCAAAGACCGAACAACCCAGCTTCTGCTTCCAAAGTAATGCCTGTTTTTGAGTAAGGTCAGTGCTTGCTTTCTACACAAGGGAGCTGGGTGGCACACAGAGACCACTGATTATTTCTGCTTTCCCCTACCTTCTGATCATCAGTGGCTAAGTGAGGCTTCATTCTGAAATCACTACCAACTCACTGCTTTTATGACAGCCCCACCATCAGGTCTCTTCCCTGTACCTACACGCCCATATTCTCCCTTGTTTACCAAGGGCTTTCACAGAGGGGGAAAATAATGGAAATAAATACATGTGGAAATAATACTTTCATAAAAAATATGTACTTTCATGAGCTAAGGGAGCTAACAGTATGATGACCTGACTGATCTCAGCCTGCCACAGCTGAGTGGACAGTACTGAGCAAAGAACAAGGGAGCCTGCACTATCAAGTGAAGGCCAAGGGAGATCACTTACGAAAAATAAGAGGATGAGGATACAGGTCTCATGATGGGCCCCTTATTCCGACTTTGATGTTCATTCTCTGTGGCTCCCACTTACTTAAACCTATCTCCACTGCTGTGATTATGTCCAAGTGTAATTAATTATAAAACCAGCAGTTTGCCTTTACCTTACCTTTGACATGACTTCAACATAGACTCCTCCTGACCTTCTTTGTCTGACAGATCCCTTGACTTATCTCCAGTTCAACCATTAGTTCAACCAATTTTCCTTTTATGCTTATGTAAGTTTCTTAAACTCTGAAAACCCCAGTGTCCTGTCTATTATCCCTAACAAATTATTTGCTACACTGCATTATAACTATGCAGGTATACACCATCTGTCGTGGGCTGAATATTATCACCCAAAGATGTCTACATCTGAATCCCCTGCAGCCCCTTAGGGAGCAAAAGGGTCTCCACAGATGTAATTACGTTTAAAATCTTGAGAGGGACGGACTATCCTAGGTCATGCACGGGGTCCTAGTGTACTAGGAAGACTTATTTTATAAGGGTTAATATACAAAATGCAATGGTCCCACAAAAGCAGAGACAGAGTGGAAAATGCTACAGGGTTGGCTTTGAAGATGAAGGATGAGGTCACAAGCCAGGTCATACAGGTAGTCTCTACAAGTTAGAAAAGGCAAGGAAATGAATTCTCTCCCAGAGCTTCCAAAAGGAATGCAATCCTGGCAATCCATTTTTGGCCTTCTGACATCTGAAAGTGTAAGAGAATAAATTTTTGCCTTTCTAGTAGTGAAGGAGAATAAATTTTTTAGCCCATAAATCTGTTACAGCAACAGCAATCTAAAATACAGCCATCTTGTAAGACCAAATATATTGAGAATCAGAAGTTTGTCTTCTTTTGCCCATATTCTACATGAATGTTTTTTTGAATGAGTATTATGTAGAAAATGATTATTTAAAATTTTTTTTTCTCACCAACGCTTATCTGTTTCTCAATTTGAGACTAAAATTTACACAGGGAAAAAAAATCTTATGATGACGTTCTTTAAAAACGCTCACTGGGGTCTTTGGTTGACCAGTATTGCATGTCTATATCTGTTTTAACGAGAAGCCACTTTGAAGATATCAATATGAAATACAACCACCATTGTTAATTCCCTACCACTTTGTTTGTAACTCTGTATTGTCTGTATTGTGCTTGTGATATGTTGTAAAATGTTGTATGTCTGTTAATGTTTCCCTCCTTTTATCTTTAAAATAAAAAAAAAACAAAAACAAAAAAAACGCTCACTGGGGGGTGTAAATAATCCTACTAGGGTTAGAATCTGAAGACTTAATAAGCACAAAGCTCTCTGTGCTTCCTTGCTGCTATCTCTGGAAATCTTACCTTCTCCATAATCCCGCCCCTTGGCTTTCCAATGCTTAGAGAAAAATGCCCAAACTGCTCTGCTGACATTTCAGAAACTTCTCGAAATCTGACCCCAAAATACCTTCGCAATACTGGCTCCACCGCTCTCCTCAGAACATTTAGCAAAACAAGACCACACTTTATCCAACTAGCCTACTTTCCCACTCCTCTATGTTCTTCTGCTTATCTTGCCAGTTATCCCATGTCACACACTGGTGGGCTCTTTCTTTGAAGGAGTTTGCCCTAATGTTAATAAAAAGAAATAATGTAACAGGTGTACACCTAACTTTTGAACTTAGCTCCTTTTTAGAGGGTGAGAATTGTGACCTCAGATAGGATACGTAAGCCTTGTTTTAGTGCTTTATAAATATAGTATTAACAGAATTTACAAGGTCTGATAAAAAGTTAATGTTTAAGTAAAAACAGAAAACGTAATACAGTGAAAGATACACTGCCATTAGTCCCCTTCGAGTACTTCCGCTTGCTTTGAACACACATCCCGTCATTCTTGCCACTTTCTGAAGCAGTTTTGGAAGTCCTCTTTTGTGTTGGGTGCTGTTGTGGCTGCCTCAATTCAAAACATTTGCCTTTTATTATGGTTCATATCTAGAAGCCTCCCACCCACGTCATGGGTGCTTCGAAAGGTGATGGAATCATGGGGACTCTACTGCTAATTGTGAGGTCAGACAAGGGCATGGCTGAAGAGACAGGTCACTGGAGGTGTGTCCCGGAAGGGTGTCTCCCCCTCCCCAGTTCTCTCCTCTGCTTCCTGGCTGGCATGAGGGAAATAGCTCTCCTCCACTTCCACCAAGCCTTCCTGCCTTGAAGCTGGCCAAATAGGGAGAAAAAACCCAAGGCAAGATAAACCCCCTTTACGCTGTGGGTGTCACTAATGTGCGAAAATGACTAAGGCAGATTGTGGTACCAGAGAGGTAGAATCATTGTGGGTCCTGACCAAGTAGTTTAGAAGTAGTTGGAACTGGTTCATGGGAAGATTTTGGAAAAGTTTGGAGATACCAGCTGGAGAAGAAGCCCTGGAATGCTGTAATGGAGCTTCGCTGAAAATTCTGGTTGAAGCTCAGAAAACCAGAATGCTGATTAAAAACAAACACACATCCACAGATGGTAAAGACCAACATTAGGAAATTTCATTTGAGAACAAGGATGGCATTACTCTGTTAGCAGTTGCACTCAAAGCCACGTGTTACATTTTGGCAAAAAATCTGTCTACATTTTGGCAAAAAATCTGTCTACATTTTGCTTATGTCCTGAGACTCTGCAGGAAACTGAGATTAAGGGCAGTGGACTAATTAATCTGGTGGAGGAAATTTCGAGACAGCCCAATGTTCAGGCTTTAGATGGGCACTGCCTGCTGCTTTTAATCTAATGTGAGAAACAGGAGCAAAAAGTGATGGAATCTAATGTGAGAAACAGGAGCAAAAAGTGAGACATAAAATTCCCATGAATAATAGAAAATACAACACCTGGAGGATTCTGAGTCTGCAGCCAGCCTGGGCTGTGCAGAGAGCTCTTATCTCAGAAAAGGGTGGGGAAGTATATAAGGAACTGCTGAATTCTTTTTGTAAGTAGAAAGAAGTGGTATGATAGTATTTATTTCATTCTAGTCTTCTATTCATCATTCTAAAATCAAGTACAGTATTGTTTACAGATAAATACAGATCATCTCAGATAAAGACATTTGATATGTCTTAGGTTCTTGAGCTGTCACGTATGAAAAATCTTACTCTTCAGAGTCCAAAGTATCAACAGAGTGGATAAAGGATTTTTTTTTTTCCAGTACCAGGAATGGAACTCACAACCTTGCGCTTGCCAGGCAGGCTCTGTGCCGTTGAGCTAAATCCCCATCCCGAAAACATCGCTTTTAAGATAATATCTGGAGCATCTCACATTTCTCAGCATCCACTCTTGAGTGAGTACTAAAATTTCTGCCTAATAAACCCTTCCTGTGCCTCTTAAAGAAAAAGATAACATCTACACAGTGGCTTCATTTTTCTCACAGTGGTACAGAATCTCTTGATAACTGTTTATGCTTTCATTACTTTCCTTGACTCACTGCACCAGCTGAGACCTCCTACATGATGTTTAACAGGAGCAGTGAAA